ACATCTGAGTACTCTTCAACACAGAAAACGTAACTGACTTGGCTACCATTAGTTTACTAATAAACGCAATATGCTCTCTAAACAGAGAGCTCGCATATAATAATCACGATTAAGGTAAACACGCCGAGAAATGCAGCAATATGAGATGTTACGTATTGTAATTCATAAAAGTAGATGTTACCGAATAGCTGTGGGTGATAGAAAAATTCTGTTCTTAGATTTGATTTAAGGGTCTCAAAATATACTAAGTGACATATAAATCCGAACACCCAGTTTAAATGGATTTATTTTAATAAAATTTTGTATAAGTACTTAATGAAGCATAGTAAGTAAATGATGAAAATTTCAAAATGATTGCACTGCTTTAAAGCCCTTTGACCTTTAATAATGTGTGGTTGCACCCTGATGTGCTACGCATCCTCCAACGCGCCTAGACATGCTTCTGATCAGGTGGTCAATGTCCTCCTGTGGTATCTCATTCCAGGCAACCACCAACTCCTCTCGAAGTGCTTCAAGAGTCTGAGGACGACGTTGCAAATTGAGCAATCTACTACCCATCATATCCCACACGTTCTCAATTGGGGATAATTCGGGAGATCTTGGTGGCCATGGTAACAATGTGACAACATCATTATGTTGAAAGAAGTCTATTGTGACTTTTGCAACATGTGGTCGGGCATTATCTTGTTGGAAAGTTGGATCTGCCAGGGTGTCAAGATAGGGTAAAAGATGGGGTTCTAGAACTTCGTGGATATAACGCTGCGCGTTCATGTTACCTCTGATGAAGATTAAAGGTGACCTGGAACCATAAGCTATAGCACCCCAAACCATAACTCCAACAGTGTGATGAACATGTCTTTCAACAAAAAACTGTGGGTTCCTCCTTTCACCACGTCATCTTCTAAGCCTGGCACGACCATCGTGCATGCCTAAACAAAATCGGGACTCGTCACTAAAGACCATACTGTTCCATTCCTGATCCCAGAGTGACCGCTGTCTGCACCACTCAAGGCTATTACGGCGGTGTTCTCGAGTTAAAGGGAGGACCCAGTGTGGCCGGTATGAAAACAAGCCAAAACTTCTCATTCGTCGGTAAACACTTCGCATGCCAATAGGTCTTCCGTGTTCTGCAAACCATTCATTTGCAATGGACCTGGTAGTGGAGAAACGGTCCCTTAAGGCCAATAATCTTAGGCGGCGATCTTCACGGTCTGTTGTTCTACGGCGGCGTCCAGTGCCCCTTGCTCTTTGCGTACGGCCTTCTCGAAGCCATGCCTGACAACACCTAACCACAGTGTCTACACTTCTTTGCACTCGAACTGCAATTGCCCGAAAAGAAAGTCCAGCTTCCCGAAGTCCCACTATACGGCCCCTATCAAACTCACTAAGTTGGCGAAATCGTACAGGTCTCCGTACTCTAGGCATCGTAACCGATCGTAAAGGATGTCAAGAATCCAAATCCGCCAACGTTGATTCTTTACTGCGGCTGAAATATTCATTTTTAAAGCGTTAGTGAATTAAAAAAAGCAGTATAAAAACCGGAATGTCCAACTGATAAGGCTGAAAATTTTTTCACTTGTTATTTACAGTAAGATAAATACATTCACCAACTTGTATTAAAATAATACCATTTAAACTGGCTGTTCGGATTTATATGTCACTTAGTATACATAAGATACACCCAAGAATTGTCATGTCACAAATACTGTGTTTATCAGTGGAATAAAGAGGAATCGATTTCTTTCCTTTCTTTGGCGCAATCTTCATACAATGGAATATTATTGTTAGTATTCACCAAATAATTATTATTTTTCAACTCAGTAATTTTTGGAAATGGACTATAAACCTACAGTTCTAAATTTTAAGTAAGTTACAGATGGAAGCAATCATTACAGTACAGTAAAAATAGTTATTACTCAACTGTTTACATTTGTTACAAGAATGTAGTAGTGTCATTTTCAGTAATAATCTATTTAATACCAGAATATAAATTTGGTTTATAATAGGATATAATATATTGGAATATACGAATTTTCTGTTTGCTAAAATTGGTATATGACGACCAAATATGATTTATTCTTCGAAAATTATATTACACTTAATTCACATCATTCAAGACATTCAAAAATTATGTAGTTTATCAAGTGGAAGAAGTCAAATGAATCAGTTAATAAACAATAAATACAATTGATTTCATTTCTACTCAGCTGTAAGAGATTTGTGCCCTGACTTGTACTGAGGTTATTAGTTAAAAGCAACGGAGATAGATAATTAGAGAATCTTTGGATAGATTTTACTTCATTCAAAATATATTGGAAATTAGCGTATTCATATACGAATGAAGGGCCTAGTCCTGTCAAGTACGCGACTTAAAGAAACAGTTTTACTCTTCTTATCAAAATGTCTATTTGTTGTAAATGCATTTTTTCTACAAAAACTAAACCAATTAAACACTTTATTATAACAGGTGCAGTTGCTTTTGGGTAGCAAATTAGTGTAAAAGTATATTAGTCTGATTTAACCTGGCTCCAGAGTTTAGTCTAATTAACCAAGCAATTTAGTTACTCAGAATAATTGAAACACTCAGAGGTATGAACAGTATTCCAAACTCTAAGAAAATGGCTGAACTTCTTTCTACGAGTTGCTACTATTCAGGGGACGTGCTAGAGTCAAGCTGATATTAGGCGTGTATTTCCCTTTATAGTATCAGTTAGCTCAAAATCTTTTAAACCGGTATTGTTTTTACTTTGAACTAAAAAAGGTGGAATAACGAGTAATCTGTTAAAAAGCAGTATCGTTACCGAATATGTACGATTGATCGCGTGTCATGCGTTGACAAAATGAATAACAGCTTTTGCAGCAGAAAAACGGTCACAGTGAATCAATTAAGAAAAAAACACGTACACTGGGAATACACAATTTATATGCAAATGCAGCTGTTTCCATGAATTTGAGGAATTACAGAGGAGTTATCACAGTATCACTTTATCGGAAACTTCAGGGGAATACCAGGCAGACGCACTACCTGAGCAACGACGCTTAATGTTTGCTCAATGCGTAAATACTGCGTACTCAATAATCCTGTTTTAGTCTTTTCTACTAGCCAGTCTCCTACTCCGTGCCTCCACGATGGTATTATGCCATTTCATTGTTTCACCACTGATTTTTTAATCATGCTGATTGTTTTCTCCTGATCGTACATGACCACTTAATAGTAATAACAAAAATAAGAATAATATTTTATTTCCATGAGACGCCACGATGGGGTGATGGTAGTTTAAATACAAAAAATAATTTGTTTTGATATCTTCAAAATCGTCAACTGGAATGAACTTAAGTTTGGTATGTGGACTAACTAACCTAAGTATTGTCCACATTCAAAGGTCTTTACTCAAAATTAACGTGCACCAGTGGCGGAGATACAGGGGATTTTTGGCGTTATTTTTCCAAATAAAAATAATACGCCACTGTTTTTTTTTCGATTCACGCAATTTATCAAATTGTAACTTCAATTTGCTACAAATAATTACGCTTGTGCACTGTTTTCGTAAAACTAAAAATAAAACAAATTAGATAATTCATAAAGAACCAAGATACAATTAGTTTTAAAATAGAATAGGAGGCCTTGATGTCAACTCGACGTTCCTTGGGAGAGTTTGTCAAAGTTATGTACTATACAATATTGTTACCGTTACTACTACCATTTTCTTCCTGATAACATTTGCAGATCATATGCTCTACCACTGGAATGCAAGTTAAAAGAAAAGATATTATTAAAAACTACCTGAAAATAAAATTAAAAGACCGTAATAACTAACCCTGCAAAACCGTTACCATGGTACACGTACGAAGGCCTTAGAAATATAGGTCTTACAAATATTTCAACTCCTTAACCTAAACTTATTTGGACAATGGTCTTCTTCCAGTTACAGCTCTAGGCGTAGCTGGTTGCCTATCGACAGACTGTAGGCAGAAACAAATCTGTCTACGAAGGACCAACCATATTTTATGAGGAAATTTCTCAGATAGAAGAAAGATTTCAATACAATACTGAGTCGCTGAGAATGACAGATATAATACGTGAGAAATTCTACAATCAATAAACTATGAAATTTGACAAAATAAAACCCTGGCCCAGGAATGGGCACTCCATAATCACTTAAGAGAAATTTAAATTACTCATAAGTGGGCAAAATAGTAAAAAGAAACGTTATGAGATTTTGGCACGTGACAAAGAAAAGAGCTTTTTGTTATTACTGTAAATTATAAAAGATGGATATGAACGGTTTTTGCACCAAACTCTTCAATTGTGTCTTTCACAGTTGATGTGCTTAACCTTTCAATACCCAAGGTCCCCTAAAGGGGACAAAATTTCAATATTCATTCATGAATTCCGCCTTAACTTGATGCCAATCGGTCTAGTCACTGAGATAGAAGGAAACATCGATTTGCAGAGAACAATGATGTAACCCCTTGAGACTGGTAAACATATGAATAAGAGGATTGAAGTTGTTTTCTTGCTCGCATTTCGTGCTCTTTGAGAATAGATTCTATTTTTGCTTATCATTTAAATAAAAAGGTAGGTTGCATTTTATCCATATTACGATTCATTTTTAAATGTAATATTGTTCAAAGAAAAGTTTTGAATGTTGCAGCGAGCAGTTATACTTATTTTACAAGTTTGAAGTCTCAGATTCTCTCCTGGGGACACTGGGCCTGGGGAGCACGTTTTTATTGAAACACGATTAAGTTTCAGAGATTAAAATTTGAAATAAAGGTAAAATTTACAGTATTTTACATTACATAATAAAATTTATTATAAACTCAGAAGCAAAAATATAAAACCAAGTGCAAAAGGTTTAACTTTTTGAAATAATAATAAGATTTATTATACGGATAAAGTGCATAGTTTACGTTAAAGTGTACCCCACTTGTGTCACTCATGCACCTCCTATGCCCAAAGAACCCTATTTTGGACCATGCATTATTTTACAATTACGTATTTCATATACACCTTAGGAAAAACCATTGTTATACATGGGAAATCATTTCTTGGCAACAGCGCATCGGCTCGTCTACTTTCATCGCTATTCGTACATATTTCCTACCGTTAACGCGCGTGCCGTCGTCAAGTGCGATAAGGGATTCATGACTCACTCTGCGGTTGGGTTTTGTGTAGGAAAGGTGCGTCTTTATTTAATCCAAAATATCTTAAAAATGTACTCGCAAGAAGAAAAGTTTCAAATGATAGAATGGTACATCCAGAATAAATCAGCACGCGCGGCTGTTGAATTATATGCGGTACGCTTCCCAGATCGGCCAATTCCGTCTCACGCAACGGTTATAAATACCTACGAAAAATTCAAGAGGGTGGGCTGCTTACATAAGTGTCATAGCTGCATGCACCCTGAAGGTTGGACACCAAAAATTAGCGAGAAAAGGGAGGAGACCGAAACTGCTGTTTGTGCCGCTGCAGAAGTATCTGAGCCATGCTCAAGCAGAAAAATTGCTGAAATGGTACCAATAGCCGATCTCACACCAAGAACAACAAGAAATATTTTGCATCGCAACGGCTATCATAGCTTCAAGGTTGGAACGGTTCAAGAAATATTTCCTTCAGACAAATACCGTCGAATGGAGTTTTGTGAAACGGTCATGGAGAAGGCGAACAGAGATGGAAGTTTTATTGGTAACATTTTGTTTACTGATGAATCCACATTCCCTCTCCACGGTCATCACAATCCTTCAGTCGTTCGGTATTGGTCTCGGGAAAATAAACACCTCAGTATTCCCGTCCGCACGCAGTATCCACAGAAATTGAATGTGTGGGCAGGAATTCTAGGTAATAACATTATCGGACCGTTCTTTATTGATGGAACTCTTACGGCTGCAAAATATTTGGCGTTACTACAGACGCAGGTTGTTCCTGCAATTAGGCAGCTTGGCATTGATCTCGCTAATATTTGGTTCCAACAGGATGGATGCCCGGCGCATAATGCGGCGATCGTACACACTTACCTTGAAAGTGTGTTCGGCCACCGGATTATTGGGGGTAACGGAACAATAAAATGGCCTCCTAGATCACCCAATCTAGCGCGCAATGATTTTTTCTTGTGGGGTTATGTGAAAAGTACTGTTTACACCTTCAATGAGAGAGCAGACAATTTGCATAACCTACAGGTGAAAATCGTTGAAGCGCTCGGGCAAATACAGCCTTCTACCCTCTTGAGAGTTCGTCAGGAGTTTTATAACCGCCTGACATACTGTTCATTGAATGAAGGATACGTTTTTGAGCCCCAGCTGTGAAGGACCATTTGAAATATTTGTGTTCATTATTGCGTTTTATTTTTGAGAACTTATTTTTTTTGTTAGAATATCTTTTTATTTTCGTTACACATTTTTAAGAGTGTACTATTTTTTGTTAGAGTTCTTATTTTTGTTATGAGGACGCAGCCTTTATTGCTACAAAACCAATTATCCATTCATAAAAATGCGTAGAGTGATTTAGGTGATTTCGTGAAATCTCGAAATCACCGAAATCGGTTCACAGGACGTCCAATCGAACTGGTGCGTAATGCGCGCATCTACTGTACTTCTTCTGTCGACTCAACGCATACTGAAATTTGCAGCAGACCCCAGACCTGTATCACGAATGAGAATAATAAACAGATACGCTGTGTTGCCAATTTGAGTAGAGCTTCCCGAATTGTGGGGAATTTAGAGTTAAATGTTGATTCATTCAAGCTTTTAATCAGCATGGCCTAGACGTTAGAACTTCATAAAGATAACATTGAAGCTGAATGCTGCTGGAGTATAGTGTTTCGAATATTCAAAGCGGAGCGGGACACTATACTCGTTCAATGGGTCATTTATTGCTACAAAACCAATTATCCATTCATAAAAATAAGTAGAGTGATTTAGGTGATTTCGTGAAATCTCGAAATCACCGAAATCGGTTCACAGGACGTCCAATCGAACTGGTGCGTAATGCGCGCATCTACTGTACTTCTTCTGTCGACTCAACGCATACCGAAATTTGCAGCAGACCCCAGACCTGTATCACGAATGAGAATAATAAGCAGATACGCTGTGTTGCCAATTTGAGTAGAGCTTCCCGAATTGTGGGGAATTTAGAGTTAAGTGTTGATTCATTCAAGCTTTTAATCAGCATGGCCTAGACGTTAGAACTTCATAAAGATAACATTGAAGCTGAATGCTGCTGGAGAATAGTGTTTCGAATATTCAGAGCGGAGCGGGACACTATACTCGTTCAATGGGTCATCAAGCCACAGTCTTTCCAACAAAGAAATTATTTTACGAAAATGCGTTATATTTTTACGATTTTGTCGTCACCAAATCTCTGTTTCTCAAAATGTACGTCTATTGTAGAATTTTCAGCAAACTAAGCAAGAAACGTGATCTAGTATTTACTCAACATTACGGATTTCTCGAAATACATTAAGAAATGTGACCTAGATACCTAACTGCCCCAAGCTCTTTAAATATAACACCTTAAACCAGGGTTACCAGGTGCTCAGTCACGTTGATTGTCATGTTGTACTGCGCAAGTCAGCAAACAATCTGGCGTAATAAACGTTAGGAATCATCAGGTATTGCCAGATTCCCGAATACCGGGCACCATAGTACCCGTTATAGTTGTCCTTCAAAGTTGTCAAATCGCCCCTATGGCGCAAATTCGCCATACCAGGCAACTGTGCTATAAACAAACCCTGTTTATCACTATTATTTGATAGTCATATGGTAGTTGTAGCCCTATCTAGTGGTCCATGATTTCTCTCAATACTGTTGTATCTCTACTGGCAACAAGAATAGGGATTACAAAATCATTTATACAACAATATACAAACATGAAAAATATGATTTGAACCATGAAACATTAATACAATTTTAATAGTTTGAACTTTTTTCATTTTTGGAATACTCTTATGTGGAATCCGCAGCTATTTTTCCCGAAATTTGGGTAGACTTAGATTTCTTAGAAATATGACATATTGGTATCGGCGACTCTGCGGATGGGAGAAACAAATCGCATTTGTTGAGCACATCCATCTCTCTTCCTCATCATAATGTATAATAATGGTTTTTCCGAACGTGTATACTGAAATTGTGTCATGTTTTCGTATGTATCCGAATTTAAACCAGTTTGCATCTAGCCGCTTATGAAATCTAGCATAGAGCCGGGTGCATATAAATAAATGACACATAAGTTCCTGTGAAAATTAATGAAACTAACCATAGTAAACCATACACACTGAGAACCAAACTGTCTGACGGCTTGAGTTCATGTGTACGAGAGAGAAGTGTGTATATACATATACGTTAGGAAGAGATGGAAGCCGGCTAGATAGCGAAGCTCATCATCGCGTTGCCTAGCAACCCTGACGCGGCAATCAGCCGCGTTGCAAATATATTGCACCTGTCCCTTGAATCAAGATGCATGTTGAAAATATGCGTTAGCTTATTCTTTACGCCCAAATAATGGTTTTATTTTGAGCGTACATATTTTTGAATTGTGAGTTGTGTCGCATATGCTTAGCATTGATTTCGGATCGGCCCTAATGGCGCTACATTTTAGGTTGAAATGAAAGGTCAGGATCGCCACAAATTCTTCAACATTGTCGTACATTCCAAGGCAAGGTTCCCACCTCCATGATCATAGATGTACCCATCTAGCGCTCATTGGAGAGTGTCGTCCTGCTTCGAAATGGTTTTCACCTACGTACACGCAGGATGTGATAATTTGTATTGCGCAAACGTAGTTGTTACATTTTCCAGCGGGTTGCATATTGGCAACACGGCAGATTGTACCCCTTCTGCGTCATCGTTGCTAGGCAATGTAGTGATGAGCTGACTTCTCTCTCTTTCTTCATACACACTTCCTGCGCTTCTCTCTCGAAAACATTGAACAGACAAATTTGGTTTTTCATGTATATTAGGAATGAGAAAAAATCATTTCCACTAAGATGCACAGGTTGTTACATTTAAAAAGTAAAATTTTATGACCTTTAGATATAACTTTTTTTCTAAAAGATCATGCTGGAAAGTCAAGATGGGGGTCAATTTACAGCAGAACACTCCGTACATTTTCGAAATATCTGAATTATATGTTTGAAGGCGTTCCATAGGGTCATGAGGATTCTGGTGGCTGTATAAGTTGTTACTGAGTACTGTGACTGAGACGATGAAGATATCCGATTTTTGAGTCGCCCAGAGACGGTAGAGCTTAGAAAAACCCAATGTTTCTCTCCTAACTCTCTTGAAGATGCCTATTCAAGGCATTTTGCTAACAGTAAAACAAGTGACAAGGGTTGTCTGAGTAATGGATCATGTTGAGCGTTCAAATTTCATCTGTGTAGTTTGAGGATGAATATATCGATATGGTGACTTTGAAGTTGAGTCATTAATTTTCAGATAATGATTGTAGAAGGAAGATAAACCAAAATATGTGTGTAAAAATAAAAAAAATTAAAAAAAAAAATGTTACCTTGTTTTATAAAGTATCCTCCCGACAAGCATTTCAGTGCGGACCTGTATTTGTTCGTGCAGTCTTGGAGCACCGGCATGCCCACCCCTGTGAGGTCTTAAGTCACCTGATTCACGAGCCCTTTGTACTACATTATCAAAGGCACGAGGGGTTGGTTGCACTCGATTAAATAAGAATCATGTCCACAAGTTCACAAGTTCAGCATTTTCGTAAACATGTGCCATTTTTTATTTCGTTTGAGCCACGCAACAAACACCACTATTCACTCACGTGTTACCGACTGAAACATTGACTGACATCGTGATAAATGTTTCAAATTCTTTCGCTTTTTTGTTTCCGATGCGATGAACCGATAAGGCGGATTATATCCGTTCTTACCAAACACTAGCACATAATATCTGGACGTCAGAACTAAACAGTATTAAGTCACACTTTATAAATTTTACAGTATAGCAATCTGAAGAATTTAGATTGTAGAATACGCTATGGACGATGTCCCAGGTATGATGCTAAAATGTATTTTGCTGACTCCAGTCAATGTTGGTTGAAAGGTATCACAAGCAGTTGTGAAAATACACCCTTTTATTTAAAAATTTTGATTGAAACACAACTTGTGGACAAAATATTGTATGGTTCTGAGAATGGACATAATATCTTGTGACTAAATACCTGAATCAGCGACTTAATACAGTGTGGCTCTCAGTCAATGTTGTACATTTGATGACAAAGTCCTGTACAGCAATAAAGAAATAATTGAAAATAGAAAAAAATAACGTTTATTTGGGTTCTCATTACATAGACTCATTAATACTAACTTTAATAGTAAAATTTAATTATAATAATGCACTCTATGCAAATATTCAACCATCTAGTCATCTTCATGAACTGCCTCATGGCGAAGATTTTTATAATAACCATGGAAGCGCTGCGGCACCCATTTCAATAGTTTTTGCAAATCAGTGTATTTTTTTGTGGAAATTGGTTTTGGATCATTTCTTATGGGCAGCAGCGTGGGCAAACTGGATGTACTGGGATTATTCAATTGTCGTGTTGATCTGCGATTAACTCTATGGTAGTCGATCTGTTCGAAATTTTCTTGACAGAATTTTGTTTTGAAATGCATTACTCCAGGTGTTTCCGCCAAAAATTTCATGTGCACCACTTTTGATACAAAAAATGTTTGGTTTGTCACTGTTTTTTTCTTTGACTGAAAAATACATCCTTGTAGATCATTGAAATTTTTGAGGTTATCTGTTTCCATTTCTTTTACGGCTATATTAGGACCACACAACCTGATTAGCTGCTGCCAATCCCACGGTGTACATATTTGGAACTGAGGTAGTGACTTGATTTGTTTTTCAATTCTTGCATGTACTGTATCTGCCTCCATATGGGTATGTCCGCGCAAAAGAAACTTATGCTCAATGCATTTCAAAGAAGGCTTCATCATAAGTAGGTAAGAATAACACATGATCATCTGCTGGTTTCTATTTTGAGAAGGACAATTGTCGCTCCAAATTATAATCCTTTCAATCGAATTAGGAAGATCTAAGATATATCTCATCATGCATGAAGCCATCTCATTACCTCCACGACCGGCCACTGACTCATCCCAAACAAAGCAATCTGCAGATTTGTGTGTTGCATCATAAATAGTGTAATTAAACGTCCATAATTTGAGGGAGTAGAAACTTTGACAATTTTTTAGCAAAGGTGTAGCAAGACATTTTTGTAAATCAACAGTTATCATTTTTATACCTGGTTGAGCTCTAGCTCCCTCTTTGTCTTTTCGTTTATACGTGTAACGGTTATCAGCATCCAGAAGATGAGCTTCATACTTCTTTTGTAATTCATTTCGCTCTTCCACTGATCCAGCATCTTTCAACTTGATAAGAAATTCATCGCATGTATCGCAGGTGTCATTGTCCGGTTCTTTGAATGACAGATTGAACTCGGTGTTAAATATATCTGCGTATAACCACTGTTTCGGGATTTCTGCTTGACTCAATTTCTTTTCTATACATTCTTCATAAAAGCATTGATACATTTTGGAGATACTGAGATGACTTCCCAAGTAGCGCCTCTGGCTTTTATTCCGTGAGTAATGAGAGTCTACACATGGGAACTTCTGAATGTGTTCTCTTATGATGTTCCTCACTTCAGGACCAATTTTGTTTGGTGGTTCGTGTTTGCCCCTTTGGTCAGGTATCACAACGCCGCTGCTCAGTCTTTTTGTTAATGCAAAGCGGATTGAAGTTTGAGAGATGCTTAGAGTGTTGATAAAGAAAGTACGACAGACACTAATCTTTTTGCCGTTCACCGTGAAAAAATATCTCAATGAATATTTGCGTTCACCAGCACGTGACCCAGTTCTAGTACGAACACGTTGCACTGGAACTTCTTCTATGCAACCAGCAATAAATTGCCTTTTCTGGTCCACAAGTAGCTCACTGCTCCAAAACTGGGAATAAATTGAAGCTCGATCATCAGATGAGATATTTATTATTTATATTATATATTATTCTTCTTACAATCAACACCACAGGGTAGTTTCATACTTTTTGCGGGAATTACTTTCTGTTTTGCTGACACATATTCCTCGCCTGCTGCTTTCTTTGTTTTTCTGATGTTGTTCTTCCATTTTTTACAGTTTCTGGAACGTTTTCTTCCTTTTTTTTCAATAGTAGCTGCAGAAGATACAGATTCATTGGAACTACTACATGTTTCGGTTTGGTAATTCAAGTCTGAATGATACTCTGTTAGGACAGTATTGGCAATAGGGTGCTTACTATCACTACTACAACTTTCCAAAGTATCATTTTTTTCGTATTCTTTGTCAACAACTGGAATAATTTCATCTCCTACGTTTTCAGCGAATAGCATCGGTTCATCATTCTTATCTACTGCTACTGCAATCACTTTTACATCACTTGGTATGCCACCGTCCAAAGATTCTGGTACTGCCTCTAATTCCATAAGAATCTCGGTCTCCTCATCACATTGCAACTGCCCTGAAAAGATGAATGCAAACATTACAATCGTTACAATAGAAGACGCCAAGTAGAAGCTATTTCTTCATTTTTATTAAACTTGAAATCGTGCATAGCCAGTGCCATTTATTATTGTTAGCAGATTCTTTGAGAACCAGTTCTGTTTTCGATAGCTAATTTTACTTACAACTATGAACAGGTTCATCTAAAGGCAATAACTGATTGATTTCAGAAATATACTTACCGTCATATACATTCGATAATGAGGTTATGTCATCTTCTTCAGGGGCCCATTCGTCAGGTTTCCGTGACTGTATCATTTCCACAAGTTTTTTGCCTCTAGATGTCATAATGGCAATGATAAGAATCCAAAATTTGATAATCTACTGATGCTTCTAGCTAATTTTATATTAAATATGCTACCTCTCACTGTATGGACATAATATAAACAGCTTATGAAATAAGTATCATGTCCTTTAACATAACCTCACATTTGGACTTAACACCTCAGAGAATGAGGTTTTGTATAGAACCAGATGGTATCAAAAGCCAATGATACGTTGTAGTCCGTATAAGTGATGGACTTAGCACTATTCAAAAACGATTTCCTTGATAACTGATCGAGATAGGACTTAATACGCATCGGAATCAGAAAGAGCGGGAAAAAGTATAGGAGAATACACAATAACCTTAATTTACCCAAATTGTGGACTTAATACTGTCTGGCTCTGAGGTCCAGATATTATTATTGAGACAGGGTGGTACTCAAACTTCTAAAGGGCTATAACTTTGTTAATTTAATTTTACCAGAAAAATTTTAAAGGACAAAAACATTTCTTTTGATCAGATCTACTCACTGTTAAAATAAATGACTCAACTTCGAAGTCACCCTGTATGCATCTAAGAACATTGTTAGTGACAAAAGTCAAGTTTTCAGGAGGGTCATATCAGTTTTCTATCAACTTTGACTAAGGTTTTTGGCAGTACTTGGAACACATTTTTGTGGATTTGTAAAGATTGGTCGTTGGTTAAAGCGGGCTTTTAAAAAAATTTGGAAAAATTCATGCAAAAGGCAAAAAAACGGGTAATTACAATGTGGCGAAAACGTTCACTTAGCTGTATGTCATTATAACGTATGTTACAATGTTCTTCTATAAAACATAGTCATTATACTGATCAACAGCCAAAAAATATCCTAAATAAATTCAAAAAAATATTACTAATTTTAATGTGCGAAAACCGGAATGAAACTTATTTTTTCAATATTAGTTCAAGTTTTAGAGATACGGTAATTATATGTGTTCCTGCTGTGACAGTGTTAATATACTGTAATTCACAAGAATGCACGTGCTACGTTTTTATATTCGGCAAGGAAAGATGATGTAATCGGCATGATTGTGTTACGTTATACATACGTGTACATTATATTGTTTTATATTAGCCATTTTTTCCTCAGTTGGCTGACAGCGTTCATGCAAGGTGTCTCGAAAGTGTGTAAACAATCCAGATCAGTTTTGTTACGTGTGTGGTGATGTGACTTTTGCGTCTCAGAGACGGTCTATTACTCCACTAATAACAAAGGCATATCAGATTTATTTCGGTTGTAAACTAGGTGATCAAGACAAACAGTGGGCACCCCACATCTGCTGTAATACAGGTGCTTCAAGTCTGAGGAGCTGGTTAAAAGGCAAAAAACGGTCTATGCGCTTTGTTGTCCCAATGGTTTGGAGAGAGCCTACAAATCATATTAATGATTGTTACTTTTGCATGGTACCTCGTGTTGGACAAGCCACAGGTATGTCCAAGAAAAAAAAATCACAGTGACGAAAATCCTATTCCGAAACCCCCAGAATCCTACACTTGCGAATCAGAAAACGAATCAGATCATGGCGATCGAGTGATTCGTCAGGAAGAAGATATGCCATCAACGTAAAGAGATCCTGATTTTATACCGAGCACGTCATGCCACCAACCGCACAAAATAACACAGTAAGAATTAAATCATCTTGTAAGAGATTTAGAACTTCCAAAATGTAAGGCAGAGTGACTTGGATGAAGACTGCAGCAGTGGAACTTGTTAGAAGACGATGTTTCGGTATGTGTTTTTCGTAAACGCCACAAAGACTTAGAACCATTTTTCAATATGTAGAATAACTTGGTTTTCTGCATTAACATTAACGGCTTACTGACGGCTTTAAATATAAACTATAACCCAGAAGAATGGAGATTGTTTATAGACAGTTCAACATTGAGTTTAAAGGCAGTGTTATTGCATATTGGAAATATTTTACCATCTCTTCCCGTAGGGTATGCAGTTCACATGAAAGAATCATATGGCAATATGAAGTACCTATTGACATGCATAAAATACGATGAGCACCAATGGCATATTTGTGGCGATTTGAAAGTTGTTGCACTTTTACTTGGGCTGCAGCTAGGCTACACAAAGTTTTGCTGTTTTTTGTGTGACAGTCGGGCAAGGGCACTTTATTACACCAGACAAAACTGGCCTGTTCGTCAATTCCTAGAGCCAGGTCAAAAAAATGTACAGCATATGCCATTAGTAGATTCGAAAAAAAAATTATTACCACCACTGCATATCAAGTTGGGCCTAATGAAAAACTTTGTCAAGGCATTAGATAGAGATGGGTCAGCTTTTCAATACCTGCGTCAGAAATTTCCAAGACTAAGTGAGGCAAAGGTTAAAGAAGGTATTTTTGTTGGGCCACAGATTCGAAATATTTTGAAAGATACGCAGTTTGAAAACACTTTAACAGGTATTGAAAAAACTGCTTGGAATGATTTCCGTCTGGTGGTCACTAATTTCTTGGGAAATAGAAAAGCTGACAACTATAAAACCCTTGTCAAAAATATGCTGTCATCGTATCAAAAGGTGGGCTGTAATATGTCTCTTAAGATACATTTCCTACACTTACACCTGGACATTTTTCCTGACAATTGCGGAACCGTAACGTTTTCATCAGGATATTTCAACAATGGAAAAAAGGTACCAGGGGAAGTGGAATCTTTCCATGCTTGCAGACTACTGTTGCACTCTTGGTAGAGATGCTCCAGAAACGATCCATAAAAGAACAGCAAAAAGACAGCGCATATAGTGATTCTTATAAGTATATCAATCTTGTTACTTTTTTTAATATATCCTTAAAAATAGTTTTTTTTCTAAACCGCAACTAATTTTTTATTTCATTGTCATTTTTGGATTCAGCGCTCCAAAATTAACAAAGAAGTGCACTTTTCCCACAGGATACAATTAAAAAACTAAAATTTGTTGTCCAGTGATTTATCCACTGTCAGAGCATAAACAATGATAAAAATACATAAACTGTACCTGTAGAACATTGTAAAGGCTCTTACAGCATCATTAACATTAGAGTGACGCTATAGGAAATGTGTATTTGCTTGATATTTTACGTGCAACATCTTTGTAAAGTCACTTACAATGTGCCATAATACGTTTACGCGCATTGATAAGCACTGTAAAGGCAAATAAAATATTTTAATGATAACAACTGGGTTGTGGTACATGCGTAACTTACTTTACAATATCTTGCATCAGCTGTAGTGGAATTGTATTGAACGTTACCATGATCTTACTGCTGTACCGTAGCAGTAAACAGTTACAGTGATATTTAAAATACTTTTTTTTTCATCTTTGATACAAAAAAAAATTAAATTCTCATACTAGCTGAAAGTATTAAGTAAGTTCTATCTGAAACAAATCAAAGCTAAATATCGACAAAATGTCAGACACAATGTTCTCAGATGCATGTATCGATGTGTACCAAACAAAGCTTATTTTATGTATAGGTAGTTAGAGGCATGTTAGTTGAGTAGATGTCTTATGGGGATTCGGTCTCAAAACTTCCAAAATCCGCCACCAGAGGCGCTGGCGTCGCGCGCCATTGACAGGTTGTTGGACGGAATCTGTAATCATGAGTTGGGGATTCCGCCGCTAGATGGCGCTGTCAAACCAAACGGAATCTGTGTGTCATTGGACACCTGTCATGCGTCATTGGGCATCTCACGCATAGATGGCGTTAAAACGTCATCTGTCATACGTCATTGGACACCTGTCATTGATGGGTTGGGCATCTCGCGCATAGATGGCGCCGATTTGTTTGGCGCTGTACAAACCAAACGGAATCTATGTGTCATTGGACAGCTGCCATTGATGGGTTGGGCATCTCGCGCATAGATGGCGCCGATGTCGCACCTGTCTGGTGTTGGCGTGGATTACGGGGGGCATTCAGAACGTGTATACAGGGGTGCATCGAAAAATAGCGGATCGATGGACCGACGGTATATCGTTAAATCGTATATAGCAAGGCGTGACCTAAATAGCGTGGTGGGCTCCTCTGGTCGGTCGGTCGGTCGGTCAGAATGTCTCATAACCTGTATACGATGTACTGTTATTATTATACAGGATGACACCGTTCAAAATGAAAATAGTATAGACATTCTGACAATTATTTCGCAAACCAGAGGTATTTTCAATAAAACTACAATAATACGTTTAATATTTTATTGAAAATAGAAAAAACTACATAGGTAATATGATATTTGAAAACCAGTGGCGTAGACGTTCAACATTTCTCTGGGTACAGGAAAATTGTCCGTTGGTGTGGCATGGATTGGAATCAGCAACAAAGTTTCCAGTAGCACACGGTGTACCATCATACTTGCAAACATCAATAATGTTGGGAAAAACACCAAAAATGTGACATTTCTTGAGTAAAAAGTTTGCTTTCTGTTCTCCACGAACGTAGACATAGTCAGCCGCATATATCACCTTATTTTTAATTATTTCATTTAACTTGGAATATTTAACGTCGCCGGAAGAATATTTAAGCCCATGGAAATTCTTCTCCAAGTAAGCGACAGTTTTCTTGTCTTTAGTATTTAATGTAGAAAAAGGTTGCGGAGGTGTAAAGATGTAATGACTTTTCTTGAAACCAATTTCGATACATAGTTCTTTAGGTACGAATAATCCGTCAACTGTAAAGCCTTGAATGTCAACAAACGCGATCCTCATGATGTCTGATGCGGAACTGAGAGTCCTTCGTTGCTTACGAGATGGTTTTAATAACTTCGGTGAGGGGGAAGTACTCGATTAAGCAGTCATGTATAATGATGCAGTAGGCCTTGGTGTTGGTTGGAAAGCCAGTATCGGCTTCGATATCCAATCTAACATCAACAGTTGATGATTTCATGGTTTCCTCTTGTTTGGAACAGTCAATAACAAACAAAGCGCGATTTTTAAAAGCGGTATAATCTAAAAGACATCTCTTCAGAGGAGAAGAAGAAGTTGTATAGCTGGT